CCCCCGCCCCCCTCCTGTGCACCTCACCCCCACACTGCCTCCCCCTCCCCCCTTCCCCTTCTACCTGGAAAGCTGCTGTACATCCTCAGTGCTTGAGGGCAAGGTGTGAGGGAGATGTGTGTGTGAGTGAGAGGGAACTTTCGTGAGGGGAAAACCAGGCAAGATCATCCTCCTCGGCAAACGGATTCTTTCTATGGACAATTGTGATTGACTTGTAATTTTTTTTTATTCTCTGGAAGTACCGTTAGCTAACTGTTTTGACTTTTTTGTGAGTGAGGTGAACTTTTTTTTCTCTTTCCTCGTCCAAGCTGTGGTTTAGTGGAGTGAAGAAGAGAGGGAGGAGGTTGAGGTGAGGAAAAGGTTCTGTTATGGTTTTAAGAGGACTTTTGTATTTTTATTTATTTATTTTTTATAGATTTTTTCAAGGTTATAAGATAAAGTTGTAATATGTAAGATTTTTAAGCTAAGATGTTGCCTTATGATAGGCTATAACTATCATTTCTATACTATAGATGGCAGAAAGAGGCGTAAGATTTAGTTTTAAGTTCCTATAATGTCATAGACTGCTATTGAGTAATTCATTCTTCGATGCATCAGTACTAGAGTGCAGTGTTGTTTTGAATGGAAAGAGTAGAGGAGTCATTGTATTTTTAGGGTGAGTCATAACTACAGTAGGTGTAAAGAACAAGGTAACATGCTTCGATGGTAATTATCAAATAGCACGGCAGGCATTTGTCGTGTACAAGTTTCCTGATGAAGGGTAATATCCTTGATGTTATAATTTTGAGTCCTCAATCTTCAATGCCAACACTTTCTTTCTCTCCCTATTTCGTACTGTTAATTATGTTTGTTCAGATGATATTTTGGTTAAATTATTTTTTAAGGGTTCCAGGGATTAGCACCTGATCACTTCCTCTTCCTGTTTTGGCTTTTCTTCCCCCCTTCCCCTCAGTGACCCTTTTCACTCCCCCCAGTTTCCTCCTTTCTTTGCCTCCCTTTTGCCTTGCCCCTTTCCTGCTCCTTTCTCTTGGAGGGATTTTGATGCAGACAGGCTGATGCGTCAGCCTAGAGCCTCTCCTACTTTCCTAGCTTTCTCCTGTGCTTCTTTGGCAGTTCTCTTCTCCCACTCTTATTCCTTTACTTTACTTAGCCCCCTATCCCTCATATCTGCACCCTTATTTACTTCTTCCATTCATCGTACCCACTCCAACCTGACCTCTCCTATCCTCTTCCCCTACCTCTTCAGGCCTACCCTACTTTTCCACTCCCCACCCTTACCTTTCCTCTTTCTAGCCCTGTCCTCATCCTCACCTTACCTCTTCCATCCTCATCGTATCCCCCTCCCTCTTCCTCCCCCCTTACTTACCTCTCCTTCCTTTCTTCCCTACCTCTCCATCTCGCTCCCAATACCTAAGTCTCCCTCCTACCTTACCTCTCCCTCCCTTACCTTACCTCTCATTCCCTTCTCCCTACCCCCCCTCTCCTTCCCTACCACCCCTCTCCTTCCCTTCTTCCCTACCCCACCCCTCTCCTTCCCATCTTCCCTACCCCCCCCTCTCCTTCCCTTCTCCCCACCCCACCCTCTCCTTCCTTCTTCCCTATCCCTCCCCTCTCCTTCCCATCTTCCCTACCCTCCCTCTCCTTCCCTTCTTCCTACCCCTCCCCTCTCCTCCCCTTCCCCCTACCCCTCCCCT